TATATTAGTATATTATAGTATATTTTTATTCTAATTTTTAATTAAACTAAAATTACGCTAATAATGTATAATAATATATGAGGGGATAATAAATTTAATCCAATTACTTTTATAAATATATAAATATAAAATCTATAAAATATTAAGAATGATATTATATTTTTAAAAACAAATATTAGAAAATGATTTAAAAACATGTATAAATTATATTTATATGTCCAAAATATTAAAGATATCCACATTTAAAAAAATACTAAAAAATATTAAAAGTTATATTTATTAAAGTATTAAAAAATATTTTGTAATATATAAGTTAAAAAAATTATCATTAAATTTATTAAAAATTATTAGTTTTGTAATTTATACACAATAAAAATAAATTACAAATATTATAATATAATGGTATATTAATATAATATAATGTATTTGTATTATAATTTTTAATTAAACTAAAATTACGCTAATAATGTATAATAATATATGAGGGGATAATATTGATATATTTATATATTAATATATTTATATATTTATATTTTGATATATTTATATATTTATATTTTGATATATTTATATATTGATATATTTATATATTTATATATTGATATATTTGTATATTTATTTATATCCTTATACATTTATATATTTAAAAAAAAATTAAAAATTTAAATATTAAATTTTAAAAATAATATTATATTTTTAAAATTAAATATTAGAAAAATATTTAAAAATATATATAAATTATATTTACATGTACAATATATTAAAGATATATATTTATATCTTTGCATATTTATATATTTATATTTTATATCTTTATATCTTTACATATGTTTATATCTTTATATCTTTACATATGTTTATATATTTATATCTTTATATATATATATATATTTATATCTTTATATATTTATAAAATCTATAAATACAAATATATTTATATATTTTAATATATATTTAAATATTGATATATTGATATATTTACATATTTATATATTTATATATTTACATATTTATATATTTATATATTTACATATTTATATATTTATATATTTACATATTTATATATTTATATATTTACATATTTATATATTTACATATTTATATATTTACATATTTATATATTTACATATTTATATATTTACATATTTATATATTTACATATTTATATATTTATATATTTACATATTTACATATTTATATATTAATATATTAATATATTAATATAATGATATATTTATATATTTACATATTTACATATTTATATATTTATATATTAATATATTTATTTATATTTTTATATATTTATATCTTTATATATTTATATATTTAAGAAAAATTAAAAATTTAAATATTAATTTTTAAAATAATATTTTATTTTTAAAAACAAATATTAGAAAAAGGTTTAAAATATATATAAATTATATTTACATGTACAAAATATTAAAGATATATATTTATATCTTTACATATTTATATATTTGTATCTTTATATATTTATATCTTTATATTTTTACATATATTTATATCTTTATATTTTTACATATATTTATATCTTTCCATATTTATATATAAAGATATAAAGATATTAGTTTTGTATACAAATAATATTATAGTATAGTATATTATACTATTAATATAGTATACAAATAATATATTAGTATAGTATAGTATACAAATTATTAATTTTTTAATTTATATACAATGAAAATAATATAATGGTATATTAGTGTAGTATAGTATATTTGTATTTTAATTTTTAATTAAACTAAAATTACGCTAATAATGTATAATAATATATGAAGGGATAATAAATTTAATACAATTAATTTTATAAATATATAAATATAAAATCTATAAAATATTAAGAATGATATTATATTTTTAAAAACAAATATTAGAAAAAGGTTTAAAAACATGTAGAAATTATATTTATATGTCCAAAATATTAAAGATATCCACATTTAAAAAATACTAAAAAATATTAAAAGTTATACTTTAAATTAATGAAAATATTTAAAAAATTTTATATTTATTAAAGTATTAGAAAATATTTTGTAATATATAAGTTAAAAAAATTATCATTAAAATTTTTTAAAAATTATTAGTTTTGTAATTTATATACAATGAAAATAATATAATGGTATATTAGTATAGTATAATATATTTGTATTCTAATTTTTAATTAAACTAAAATCACGCTAATAATGTATAATAATATATGAGGGGATAAGAAATTTAATCCAATTACATTTATATATATATATATATATATATATATATATATATATATATATATATCCTTTTTTAACTTTTTTTTTTAACTTCTCACATTCTACATTGTTTTTAAACTCTATCATTTTTACTATATTATAATAATACATAAAATTTAAAAACTAAACTAAAAAAAGTAAGTTTAAATTTATAAAAAAATACATTACTAAAAGTATCATATTATATTAAGATTTTCATTATTTTCGTTAATTATAAATTTAAATGTGTTTCATCAATAAAATTATAAATTTAAATGTATTTCCACTTTTGATCCATCATAAATAAAAATAAATAGTCTCTTATAAATGTTGTTCTATTTTAATACATCATTAAATTTGTTTTATATACGAATTTGATGACTTATCATATTATTAAAAATTTGGATGAAATAATTATGTATAATACTTTTTTAGTATATTATATTTTTAAATTTGTTAATAGAGAAAAAGTTTCAGAATTCAAAATGTTAAACACTTTTAAATATTAAAATTGACTTTATAAAAAATTAGGAAAAAAATAATTAATCCAAAAATATAATAATGATAAAAATATTATAAAAAAGAGTTAAAAAATGTATTATAATATTTTCAGTTTTAGTTTAATTATATTTTTAATTCTCAAAGTAGAAAAATATATTGTAATTATTTTAATTTAATAAAATATAATTTATATTTTTAATACTAAAATTAAAATATTAAATAATAATAAATTTAATTCTTTAAATTTAGTATTTAGAAACTAAAATTATAGTTTCTCTCTTTTAAAAAATTAAAATAAATATTTAAAAATAAAAATAAAAACTAGTATTATCTTAAATTTATTAAAAGTATAATTAAATCTCTATTTTCTTATGCAATTTTAGAATTTTTTTAATGAAAATCCAATATATGAAAAAGTTAAAATTTTAAAAAGGCAAAACCTTAATTTATATTAACTATTTTTAATATAAATTTAAATATATGTTGAATATAAATTTTAAAAAGACACAACCTTACCTATGTTGAATATAAATTTAAATATATTTTTCATTTATTTAAATATGGTTTATTTTTAGTATTTATAAAATATATTAATTTTTAATTTTTAATCTTTTTTATTAATTATGTTAAAAATGAAAAATATTAATTAGTATACTTAAACTAAAAAATATTTTAACTAAAGATAAATATATTTCTATAAATAGTTTAATTAAATAATATATTTATTATCTAATGTATATTGATATAAATTTTTTTTGGTATATCAATTATATGACAACAACCATGATTAAGTAATTAATAATAATAAAGCAATAAATTTAAAAATTAGATTAAAAATAAAGTATTATAAAATAAAATTGTAATAATTTGATTAAAATTGTAATTTTTTAATTAATTAAGTTAATGAGGAATTAAAATGTGATAATTTGATGTGTTTAATTTTTTTAATATAAATTTTTAAAATATAATTTAATTTCAATTGAAATTTTCAATTGAAAAATAAATTAAAGAATATTTATTATTAAACTTTTCTTAAACAATTTATTGAATAGTTAATATCACTCTAGTCTTAATTTATTACAATTTAAATTTTTAATAAATTTGATTTATTTTTAATAATATTTTTATTTTAGTAATTTAAAATTAAAGTTAATCTTCATTTTGTTAATATTGAGACCAAAGTTTATTTTTAAAGTATATTTTAAAAATTAAATTATTTTTATAAAATAAATTACTTTTAAAAAATAAATTGTAAAAAATATACTAAAATGATTAAAGTATATTTATAAAAAAATAAATTTAAATATAATAAAAAAATAATATTCATTAGCGACCGATTTCAATTCGGTCGCTATTTTCTCATTAGCGACCGATTTTAATTCGGTCACTATTTCAATTTGTGATTCGGTAGCTAAATCGGTCGCTAAATGATTTTTTTTTATTTTTGTACGGAATAGCCACCAATTTAGCGATCGATATTTTGCGACGCAAACTATTGGTCGCTAAATAAAAAGTGAAACCAAATCATATTTTGGTGGCTAAATCGTTCGCTAAATTGCGATCTGAATTAACTCGATCACTAAATCGGTCGCTAATTGCGACCGAATTAAAGTTGTTGCTAAATTGGTTGCTAATTGCGACCGAATTAAATCGGTCGCTAAATCGATCGCTAATTGCGACCAGAAAATTTCGGTCGCTAATTTTGGTGGCTAAATGTGTTTTTTCTTGTAGTGTATTGTTCCTGTTGAATTATTCAATAATATAAGAGAAAAAAGTTCAAATTATTTTACTTCCTCTTTAATTCGTAGCTTGTCATTTTATTTTTTTTCTATATTTTTTCATAATTTTAATTTCCGTATTTTAGAAAAACATCACTTGTTTCAAATTTTAAATTTTTTATATATTCTATTTTTTTTTTTTGATTAATTGAACCTTACACTAACCTATTCACTTAATCTATCATCGAGGAGGAAAGTAATTAGTTAAGATGAAAAAACAAACGTTTAAATTGAGAATTTGGTTAAATTTGTTAATTTTTCAAGTTTAATAATTAAATTACCAACCAAATTGCGAATAAAAATTAAGAGACCAAAAATATAAAGCGCCAATGATAGAGTCCAAACATAAACAAAACACAATCATATTATCATTAAATTATGTCAACATGAACATTCTCTGTTACAAAATCATCAATTCTTGCTTACATTCCATACTTCAATCATTCTCTCATTAACCTCTTGCCATGAAAGCTTAGTGGAACAAGGCAAAGAAAGAGAAGACAGAGGCACCAACCAAGGAGCCAACAAGGGGCAAGGCAGCTGAGGCTCCACTGCTAGGGCCAGGGGCGGGGGCAGCAACCTCGGCGGTGGCCATGGCGGCACTGACAGAGGCAGCGGCGATGAGAACAGCGCAGGTGACCTTCCTCATGTCCATGATGAATAAAATGTGACTTTGTTTTGGAGACCCGCGGGTGTGGTGATGAAGCAAATGTGTGTTTATTGTGTAATTTGCTTGCAGGCCTGAGGAACAATGGTGCTCTTGAGTGGCTTTTAAAGATAGGGTTTCAGTTATTTTGGTAAAACACCACATTTTTAGCTTCTGAAATGCTCAAAGGTGTATGGTCTTGCATGGATTTCGGGTTTGTTTCAAAGGTTTTGACTGAGATGTAAATCGAACATGTGTTGCATATTTGTTGACAAAATGTTTCAACCACATATTTTGTTTAGAGAAGTTGCAAATAAACTAGAACCATTCAAATGGCTCCACAAATTATTAGGTGTTGCTAAATATATTTAGTTTCTTTTTTCTACTTCCCATTCTTATTATATAATTGTTAGTTATATAACCTATTTATTTATTTATTTATATGATAACAATTCAAAAGGGAAAAAAAAATCAAATATTGGCATATTAAGGAACATTTGACAATGTAATTTTGTAACATCATTTATAGACTTGTTATTCTACTTCTAAGCACAAGTTTTTATGTATATCCCTTTTTTAATGGTTTTAGGTTTTACTATATACATTGAACTTGCGTTTAAAAAAATTAAGTCCTTAATGTTACTTGGTCTTCGGTGTTGTTACTTTAAGGTAAACAAGTCATTGGTTTTCAAATTGAAGTTTAATATATATATATATATATATATATATATATATATATATATATATATATATATATATATTATTATCTAATTATTGCAAAAAATCATATATTTTATTATAATTAAATGAATTTACCCTAAACCTAAAACTGAGTCTATTTTATAACATATATTTTAAGAATAAAAATAATATTATTTTATTAATATATATATATATATATATATAAAATAATATTTATTAATTAATGTTTTTTATTAATTTTCATTTTTACTACTTTGTAATATAATTATTAAGATTAATTATTAAGACAAAACGATTCTTACATAGAATACAATGGGATCTGATGCAGATGTCGCATTTATTTTTTCTGTGTTTTTTTCTTCCTCGCACGCGTAAGACTCTTTTAGTAAACGATGGTGAAAACGATTATTGAAATATCTTTTAAAAGGGTATTTTTTTACTGAGTTGCCACAACACTTATATTGTAATTATTTGTGGTGATTGACATTTTTTTCTTATTGAATTTGAGTTTTAGTGCATTTTGTGTCTTTGAGATTAATGTTATATGTCTTTAGTTTAATGTTTAAATTGAACCTACAATTATATTTTGGGATCTCAATAACAATATTATATGAATGTCTTCATTGTATTGTTATTCAAATTGAACTATTATTATTTGTGGTTGTCCATTTATTCGTTTGAGTACAAGTATGATTTATGATGCTCCATTGTTATGTCTCAATTGTTTATTTTTTTAGTCTCACATTTTTTGTTATGCGTGTATTAATATTTTTTATTAAATATGAATGTGTTTGAGTATTTAGGAATGATGAAATTTGTAGGACAGGTAGTTATGAACCAAATTTGGATTGATGCATGTCATATTAGTGAAGAGTGTGAAAAGGGTGTTGAAAAGTTTTTACATTTGTTCATGAAAATGAAAAACATATCAAAGGGGCATATTATTGTCTATGCATTTTTTGTTTGAATCAAATTCATCACAAACTTGAAGATATATGTGATCACTTGTTTGTTTATGATTTTGTTAAGAGTTATACAATAAGCACATGTCAATAATAGAAAATTTTGAAAAAAGGATGAAGGATTATTTGGAGAAGATGATACGTGATTAGGGTTGATAACACGGGCGGTCCAGCCTGACCTGGCATAGTCCTATGAGTCAAGTAAAAAAAATTAATGGGTCAGCCTGACCTATATTTTAAAACGGGCCAAATCTTAAATGCAAATAATTAGTATAGGAGAAAAATTTATATTATGGAGAGATGCATTACACAAGAAGTCATTGAGTTTTGTTTAGGGTACATGAAAAATAAAAAAACAATAGAAATTCCTAAGATGAGATACGATGGAAGATGTTAAGGTAAAGGTAAGGTAAGGGTACTTAAAATTTAAAGATTAAAAATGTCAGTCAAAAAATGTTAATCAATCACATTTGTACATATTGAAAAACATCGATAAAGTAATATCTTACATATTGCAACACATAAGCAAAATAAAGGCAATACATATGCAAATGAATGAAAATTGGGTATTGAATAAACATAATAAGAGTTTCCTTTCTTTGTTTTAAAAAAAGATATATTTTGAAATTAATGCTTCAGATAACTTTTGAGACTCGCCCGTGGGTTTAACAATGATATCATTATATTTAGTGCTTATGACATTAACAATTAATGTTTCTATTAAATAAAAGAAGATAAAAGTAAAATACAAAATAGTGAGGTCACAATTCAAGTTAAGTCTATGTACTTTTCTAGTTCTAAAAAAAAAATTCACATTACAGCATCTATGAGTTTTTTTGTGATCCTACAATAATATGGACAATTGATTGTGTTATGTTTAGGATACTTATGTTCAAGTGTAGATGTGTTGATGGTAATACCGGCGTGCAAACATATGATATAGGGTTCCATGCAATAATAAATTTTCAATTGTCCTTGAAAGAATAAACATGCATTGATTTCAAGAAGACAAGTGTCTAATATGCATGAAAAACGAAAATATTTGATGACCTTATTGACTATAAAGTAGACCACATGCATGCTATTTGAAACTATGGTGATGAAGGAATATATGAAAAAACCTAATAGATATTTGTCTATTACATTAATTGTTTTGCCATAAATATGTTGTATTCATTTTATTCAAATTTATTAATCAGTTTGTTTCCTTTTTTTTTATAATTATATTGGATTTGATTTCTGACAATGACAAGAGGGAGTCGGTAACGGGTCGTGTTGCTAGAGAAATAACACAAGTTTATATGTTTTGATAGAGAAAGAACACAAGTTGACATGGATTCTAGTTCTGATAAGACGTTTGACCCAGATACTATTAAAATGAGCTTTGGAATTTATAACTCGACACTAGGGGTGTCAATATGGGTTCTTACCCGTGAGCCAACCCGGATCACCACGGGTTCGAGCCGGATTGGGTTCGATATTTTTTATTTCTACCGATTATGGGTTAAAAATGAACCCAGCTCACTTAATCCACAGGTTAAACGGGTTCGAGCCGGGTTATGGTGGGTTGGCCCGTAACCCACCATTAATTTTAAATTTTAAAAATAAATTTAATAACATACTAACCTTAATTAATCATTTATTTTAAATTTTTAAAATAATTATAATACTTTAGTAACCCTAATTGATGTTATCCTGTTTTACCTCTACCCTACATTGTTGGCTATCGTCACAAGTCAAACCCTCACTTAAACTTGTTATTAGTTGTTCGTTGTACCATTACGTTTATCGTCGCACTTTAATCACTTGTCTTATTATCTGTCCATCGCACCACTACACCATGTCCATTGTATTGCTTTCAAAGGTAAGAATTTGTTTTATAACCTAAACTATCTGTATTGCTTCAAAGGTAAAAATTTGTTTCATAACCTAAACTATTGGATTGATGAATTTTTATTTGAAAACTGTAGCATCTATACATTATTTGTTGTTTGTTATTGATTTATATGTATATCTCTTTAATATATGAATTTTTGACTTCTTTCTTTTAAATTAATTTAAAGTATGAAATCTGAAACAATACATCAAAGCATCAATGTAAATTGTATCGGTGATGATTTTACTATTAATGAAAAACCCAATGAGTCAATTTCGAGTTAATAACGAAGATACTGATGTTGAGAAAGAAAGGAAGAAAACATAAGTTTCTACATCCGAAATTTTTATATAATTTAAAAAATTAAAAAAATATGGGTTAGTTAGCCAACCCACCTAACTCACCAACCCGTGGTGGGTTGAGCCAAGTTGTAAAATTTCTGGCTCGCCAAAAAGTGAGCCGGGTTGAGCTCATCTATTTTCAGCTCAATCTGTAGTGAGTCAACCCGTGTGAGCCGGGTTGGCTCACTTTGACACCCCTACTCGACATCATGTCCCTATTGTTGTTTCTTTTGAATTCTTCAAGAATACAGTAGAAAAAAGGTTAAATTATTTTACTTTCTCTTTAATTCTTCCCATGTTATTTTAGGTTTTCTATATTTTTTCATAATTTTAATTTCCATTTTTTTAAAAACCCACACTTGTTTCCAATGTTAAATTATTTATATATTTTATTTTTTTAAATTGAACCTTACACTAACCTATTCACTTAATCTATCATCCAGAAGTAAATTATTTAGTTAAAAGGAAAAAAAAACATTTAAATTGAGAATTTAGTTAAATTTGTGAATTTTTCAAGTTTAATAATTAAAATTACCAACCAAATTGTGAATAAAAACTAAGAGACTAAAATATAAAGCGTGAATGATAGAGTCCACACATAAACAAGAACACTCATATTATCATTAAGTTATGTCAACATGAACATTCTCTGTTACAAAATCATCAATTCTTGCATACATTCCTTACTTCAATCATTCTCTCATTAACCTCTTTCCATGAATGCTTACTGGAACAAGGCAAAGAAAGAGAAGACAGAGGCACCAACCAAGGAGCCAACAAGTGGCAAGGCAGCTGAGGCTCCACTGCTAGGGCCAGGGGCGGGGGCAGCAACCTCGGCCGTGGCCATGGCGGAACTGACGGAGGCAGCGGCGATGAGAACAGCGCAGGTGACCTTCCTCATGTCCATGATGAATAAAATGCGACTTTGTTTTGGAGACCCGCGGGTGTGGTGTGAGCAAATGTGTGTTTATTGCGTTATTTGCTTGCAGGTCTGAGGAACAATGGTGCTCTTGAGTGGCTTTTAAAGATAGGGTTTCAGTTATTTTGGGAAAACACCACTTTTTTAGCTTCTGAAATGGTCAAAAGTGTATGGTCTTGCATGGATTTCGGGTTTGTTTCAAAGGTTTTGACTGAGATGTACATCGAACATGTGTTTTATATTTGTTGACAAAATGTTTCAACCACATGTTGTGTTTAGAGAAGTTGCAGTTAAACTAGAACGATTCAAATGGCTCCACAAATTATTAGGTTTTGCTAAGTATGTTAGGTTTTTTTTTTTTTTTTTTTCTCCTTCCCATTCTTGTTATATAACTTTTAGTTATATATACTATTTAATATGGAAAAAAAGTTTATACCTAACAATATATTTATTTATTTATTTATAACAATTTTAAAGGGAAAAAATCAAACATTGGCATATTAAGGAACATTTGACAATGTAATTTTATAACATCATTTATAGACTTGTTATTGTACTTCCAAGGACAAGGTTTTATGTATATCTCTACTTTAATGGTTTTAGGTTTTACTATGTGCTTCTAAAAATTAAGTCGTTAATGCTACTTGTCCACTATAAGAAAAAACAGTTTTAGTGATCGAAAAATTCAGTCGTAAATATTAAAAAATTGGTCGCTAATCAGTTAGCGATCGAAATTAGCGATCGAAATGCATCATCACAAAAGGCCAAGTCATTAATGTGTTAGTGACCGATTTTCATTTCGATCGCAAAATAACGATGATTTTTATTTCGGTCGTAAAATAGCGACCGATAAGGTGGTTGCTAAATAACTCGGTTACTTATTTCTTAGATATCAAAATAGTGACCGAAATTAATATATTAAATCGGTCGCTAAATAGGTGGCAAAATTAAAAAAAATAGCGATCGATTTATATCAATCGCTAATATATTAATTGAATTATTTAAATAATAATTTAATGTAAAAATAGCGACCAATTTTAGAAGTTTGAATTATTATTAGATCATTGTAATAATGAGACACTACAAGAAAAAATACATTTAGTGACCGAAATTAGCGACCGATTTAATTTTGATCGCAATTAGCGACTGATTTAATTCAGTCGCAATTAGCAATCAATTTAGCGACCGCTATAATTCGGTCGCAATTAGTGACCGATTTAGCGACCAAGTTTATTCGGTCGTAATTTAGCGACCGATTTAGCCACCGAAATATGATTTGGTTTCATTTTTTTATTTAGCGACCGAAATAGTGACCAATAGTTTACGTCACAAAATTTCGATCGCTAAATCGATGACTATTTCATACTAAAATAAAAAAATTATTTAGCGACTAATTTAGCGACCTAATTACAAATTGAAATAGTGACCGAATTAAAATCGATCGCTAATGAGAAAATAGCGATCGAATTGAAATCAGATCACTAATGAATATTATTTTTTATTATATTTAAATTTATTTTTTTATAAATATACTTTAATTGTTTTAGTATATTTTTTACAATTTATTTTTTAAAAGTAATTTATTTTTTAAAAATAATTTATTTTTTAAAAGTAATTTATTTTTAAAAATAATTTATTTTTTAAAATATACTTTAAAAATAAACTTTGGTCTCAATATTAACAAAATGAAGATTAAATTTAATTTTAAATTACTAAAATAAAAATATTATTAAAAATAAATCAAATTTATTAAAAAATTAAATTGTAATAAATTAAGACTAGAGTGATATTAACTATTCAATACATTGTTTAAGAAAAGTTTAATAACAAATATTCTTTAATTTATTTTTCAATTGAAATTAAATTATATTTTTAAAATTTATATTAAAAAAATTAAACACATCAAATTATCACATTTTAATTCCTCATTAACTTAATTAATTAAAAAATTACAATTTTAATCAAATTATTACAATTTTATTTTATAATACTTTATTTTTAATCTAATTTTTAAATTTATTACTTTATTATTATTAATTACTTAACCATGGTTGTTGTCATATAATTGATATACCAAAAAAAATATTTATATCAATATACATTAGATAATAAATATATTATTTAATTAAATTGTTTATAAAAATATATTTATCTTTCGTTAAAATATTTTTTAGTTTAAGTATACTAATTAATATTTTTCATTTTTAACATATTTAATAACAAAGATTAAAAATATACTGCTAGAAAATTTAAAAATTTAAAATTAATCTATTTTATTAATACTAAAAATAAACCATATTTAAATAAATTAAAAATATATTTAAATTTATATTCAACGTACCTCCAATTTTGCTCAATAAATTTACAGATCACATTTGGAAACTTCATCACTTAAATAACTTCAAAATTATTAACTTTTTTTTTCAAAGCCAAGTTTTTCTTGTCAGTTTTTTCAAAAAAAATAGTTAATATAAGTTAAGGTTGTTCCTTTTTAAAATTTCAACTTTTTTATATATTGGATTTTCATTAAAAAATTTCTAAAATTGCATAAGAAAATAGAGATTTAATTATACTTTTAATAAATTTAAGATATTACTAGTTTTTATTTTTATTTTTAAATATTTATTTTAATTTTTTAAAACAGAGAAACTATAATTTTAGTTTCTAAATACTAAATTTAAAGAATTAAATTTATTATTATTTAATATTTTAATTTTAGTATTAAAAATTTAAATTATATTTTATTAAATTAAAATAATTACAATATATTTTTCTACTTTGAGAATTAAAAATATAATTAAACTAAAACTAAAAATATTATAATACATTTTTGAACTCTTTTTTATAATATTTTTATCATTATTATATTTTTGGATTAATTGTTTTTTTTTCTAATTTTTTATAAAGTCAATTTTAATATTTAAAATTATTTAACATTTTGAGTTCTGAAACTTTTTCTCTATTAGAAAATTTAAAAACATAATATACTAAAAAAGTATTATACATAGTTATTTCACCCAAATTTTTAATAATATGATAAATCATCAAATTCGTATATAAAACAAATTTAATGATAGATTAAAATAGAACAACATTTATAAGAGACTATTTATTTTTATTTATGATGGACCAAAAGTGGAAATACATTTAAATTTATAATTTTATTTATGAAACACATTTAAATTTATAATTAACGAAAATAATGAAAATCTTAATATAATATGATACTTTTAGTAATGTATTTTTTTTTATAAATTTAAACTTACTTTTTTTAGTTTAGTTTTTAAATTTTATGTATTATTATTGTTAATTGATATACTAGAATAAATTTATATAAAAATAGTCTTTATCTACAAAATTCAATTCTTCAAATACTATCTTTATATTTTTCTATTGTTTCTTTATAGTTAATAAGGTCAACATTTGTGCACACACTTAAATATAATATAAAGTAAAGAGTATTTGTTTATTCTATTTTATTTCCAATCTATAATTTGAGTTATTTCAAAATATATTTTATATTTTTTAAAATTAGTAATTTTAATGTAGTTATCTAAGTTTTTGATGTGATGATTTTAATTAATTGATATTATCGAACCATTTAATTTTATTTATTATAGTAAAAATCATAAAAATAAATGTTAAAATAATATTAATTATTTTAAATTATAAGAAAATAAATAATAAAAATAGAAAATAAAGTATTATATAAAATAAGACTAATTATTATAACGATAAAATAGAATATGGGAGGAAATGAGGATGATAATATAGTAAAAATGATAGAGTTTAAAAATAATGTAAAATGTGAGAAGTTTAAAAAGAAAAAAAGTATATATATATATATATATATATATATATATATATATATATATATATAAGTAATTAGATTAAATTTATTATCCCCTCGTATATTATTATACATTATTAGTGTAATTTTAGTTTATTTAAAAATTAGAATACAAATATACTATACTAATATACTATTATATTATAATATTTATAATTTATTTTCATTGTGTATAAATTTATATTTTAAACTTTTTCTTAAATATATAAATGTATAAAGATATAAATAAATATATAAAGATATAAATACATAAAGATATAAATATATAAATATATAAAGATATAAATATATAAAATTATAAAAATATAAATTTATAAATATATAAATATGTAAAGATATAAATATATATCTTTAATATTTTGTACATATAAATATAACTTATATATATTTTTAAACCTTTTTATAATATTTTTTCAAAATAAAATATTATTATTAAATTTAATATTTAAATTTTTAATTTTTTCTTAAATATATAAAGATATAAATGTATAAATATAGAAATATATAAATATGTAAATATATAAATATGTAAATATATAAATATATAAATATGTAAATATGTAAATATATAAATATATCAATATATCAATATTTAAATATATATTAAAATATATAAATATATTTGTATTTATAGATTTTATAAATATATAAATATGTAAATATATAAATATATCAATATTTAAATATATATTAAAATATATAAATATATTTGTATTTATAGATTTTATAAATATATAAAGATATAAATATATAAATAAATATATAATATATATATATATATATATATATATATATATATAAAGATATAAATATATAAAGATATAAAGATATAAATATATAAATATGTAAAGATATAAATATATGTAAAGATATAAATATATGTAAAGATATAAATATATAAAGATATAAATATGTAAAGATATAAATATATATTTTTAATATTTTTTACATGTAAATATAATTTATATATATTTTTAAATTTTTTTCTAATATTTATTTTTAAAAATATAATATTATTTCTAAAATTTAATATTTAAATTTTTAATTTTTTTTAATATATAAATATATAAAGATATAAATGCATAAGGATATAAATAAATATATAAGTATATAAATATATCAATATATAAATATATCAATATATAAATATAAATATAAATATAAATATGAATATATAAATATAAATATATAAATATATAAATATATAAATATGAATATATAAATATATAAATATATAAATATATAAATATATAAATATATAAATATATAAATATATAAATATATAAATATATGAATATTTAAATATATATTAAAATATATAAATATATTTGTATTTATAAATTTTATATTTATA